GGTGCCTATTTATACATTGTTATCATTTTTTATTATTTGTATATTACGTGTAGTATTACTCAGACATTTGCACAACACTGGTTATTAGATAACGTTTTGGCACTTCCATTGATGCATGATGAACATAACTTAACATTTGACAAGCGGTTACATAACTTAGACATACGATTACACAACTTAACGAAAACAATAATAAATAAGAAAACCTAAACACTAACAGATGATTTTTGACATTTCAACATCTTGATTATGTCGTCGACAAATCTAGAAATTCTTTCATCAAGCTCGATTGGTCCCTTAATTAGCCTACAATGATATGTTCTACATATAAATTTCAAATCTTTATCGGTTTTCAGCTCGATAAGGTTGTATTTCACCTTTACATCAGTATCAATCCAGCCTGTGCAAAACTTAATCTTACTAACCTTTTTGTTCTTGGTGTCAAACAACATATTATTCAACTTGAATCTTAGAGCGCCGAGACATGTGGTGCCCTCTGCGAGCCGGAACTCTATAGGAGGTTTCACCCCATGAAAAACACTTATGCCTTGACCAAAAACTGAGGCATTATAATATGTTTTTATTAGACAAAATTAAATCAGAGGTCCTTTAAGTTATTGTTTTGTAACATGTTGGTCATTTAAGTTACTTTTTTGTAAACTTAGTCCTTTAGGGTGATTTTTATATATTTTTTTCTCATTTTTTTAACATTTAAAAATGTGTGACTGTTGTATTTCTAGTTGCACTTCATCATTTTCATACCACTCAAAATAATTGTATTCATAATTTGCACCTTCACTCTGTTAAAAAGGGTAATTGTGCACACGTTTGATAACTTAAAGGACCAAGTTGTTACAAAAAAAAGTTTAAAGAACCAACCTGTTACACAAAAATAACTTACATGAAGCTACATGCGGTGGTTCGCGGCGGTTGAAGAGCGTCCTCCGGGGTGGTTTAGCTCGAGATTACGGCGGGGAGATTATGGTTGGTGAACACGACGTCTTCTTCTTGGTTAGTCGCGATTGGGAGGTGCATGAATGGATTTGTCAAGCTTTCTCCTTCGCTCTTCGTCATTTATTGGATTGAAGTTAAGGTACAGATTGGTTTATTTCTGAATGTCGAAGATCATCGCTCTCTTTATGCGCGTATGTGCTTCCTTTTTGAAAAAAAAATCCTCAATGATTTTCTGGTTTCCCCCTCTAAATAGGCTTCAAACAATTGTAACTTGGTGTCCGATTTAAATGTGTCGAACATTACATCAATCAATCGAGTTAGGAATCCTGAAAGATCAATTGGACACACACAATCGAACATTACATCAATCAATCACAAAAGGAACGATGTCGTGATCTCAGCTACGAAACAAAACTGAGTGACTCTTCATTTTCAATCGAAAGAACAATGTCGTGATCTCAGCCAAAAGGCAATATTGAGTGACTCTTAGTTCACCACAAAGCATGATAAATAGGTAACAAATGAAACCAAAGTATAAATTGAATTGGCATACAAGCCAAACATACGATTAGGAGTGAAGACTCTTCGATCAACAACAAGTAAAAACATGAGCAACGACAGCTCTTCAGCACAACACCATCATAATTTCAAGCACACCGCTCCTATCTTCAGAAGACAAGTGTATTAATCAACATCTTTTCCTACATTCAAGCAACTTATGTACAATGAAAGTTTAACATCATTTAATTATAATTCATATACAATTTCGAAAATAAAAAAAACACAGATATCTTGGATATCAAAGCACTTCTCCTATCAGAACAATCCTATACCCGTCAAGAAAAAAAAACAACTAGAGTTAATCACCAATGTTTTAATGGAATAAGAAAAATCAACTGAGAATTCTACGAGAACTTAACCAAAAAATATCTAGCTAACAATTAACAAAAATTCTAATCAAGGTTATTAAAAACAAAACAAGAAATTAATCCAAAACGCAATTGTGTGAGCTATTGCGTGAGGGTTTTTGATTTAGGGAATGTGTTTTGAAAGGTTGTATGGAGCGATGCTGAAAGATGCTGTGAAAAATAGATTTTTCAGTTGGGGTACTATGAGGATTCCTTTTACACTTGCGGGTTCGTGCTTTTGGTTTCGCATGGCTGGAGTTTTCTTTTTGTGGCCTTCTGTAAAGTAAAGGCGTGATGCATAATATATGTCAGAATCATGAGAATCCCCCCAGGTTTTTATACAGGTCATTTATTTTCATTGGGTGTATTCTCTGTGGATGGTTGGGAAGGATTTTGGGTGAAAACCGAATATGAAATCAGAGAGGTCTCATTATGGTGTTTTGTTGCGTTTTCTAATGGTTTGCTGCATGTTCTCATTTACGGGTTGTCGGTTTTGGTTTTTGTGGGTTTCGTACAAATTGATTTGTTGTTGCGTCGTTTGGCACAATGACATTTTTGGGACCTTTTTGCAGAGATTTTTTTTGAAATTGTGTAGCATATTTTTAACAGGCTGTATTGTACCTTTTGCAAAAGTCGTTGTGCACATGTCTTGGTGTGTGTTTTATGGCACTTGGTGTTGCGGTTTGTACCAAACAAGGCTAAAAATTAGAATTAGCTTGGAAATTTGCTTTGGTTACTGTGTGGGACTGTGTTATATTATGGAATCATGTGAGCTATTGTGTGAGGGTTTTTGATTTAGGGAATGAGTTTCGAAAGGTTGTATGGAGCGATGCTGAAAGATGCTGTAAAAAACGAATTTTTTTGGTTGGGGTGCTATGAGGATTCCTTTTACACTTTCGGGTCCGCGCCTTTGGTTTTGCGTGACTGAAGTTTTCTTTTTGTGGCCTTCTGTAAAGTAAAGGTGTGATGCATAATATATGTCAGAATCATGAGAATCCGCTCAGGTTGTTATGCAGGTCATTCATTTTCATTGGGTGTATTCTCTGTGAATGGTTGGGAAGGGTTTTGGGTGAGAACCTAATATGAAATCAGAGAGGTCTCATTATGGTGTTTTGTTGCGTTTTCTAATGGTTTGTTGCAGGTTCTCCTTTATCCGTTGCCGGTTTTAGTTTTTGTGGGTTTCGTACAAATTGGTTTGTTGTTGCGTCGTTTGGCACAATGTCATTTTGAGACCTTTTTGCAAAGAGTTTTTTTGCAATTGTGTAGCGTTTTTTTAACAGTCTGAATTGTACCTTTTGCAAAAGTTATTATGCACATGTTTTGTCTTGGTGTGTGTTTTGTGGCACTTGGTGTTGCGGTTTGTATCAAACAAGGCTAGGAATTGGAATTAGCTTGGAAATTTGCTTTGGTTATTGTCCGGGCTGCATTATTTACATTATTTGTACAATTGATGCAGGTTGATTGTGATGTGGGCCTTAACATCTCTTGTGGTAAATGGGTTATGAAGAGATAACTAGTAGTGAATGGCCTTTCATATTGCGGCTTACATGATGGTGACAAGATGTAGGGGTGAACGGTGATGTCGCATGTTATTGAGAAAGTCGTGGCTACATACTAACTCTTTTTATCTTTGGCTTGTAATACATGAACTCATGGAAGATGACTTTTATGAAATATTTATTTCTTTTCAACTCTTACCATGGACTTTTGTAATGGGCTTTGACCTTATTTTGAATGGGCCTCTGCATTTTGATTTCATGAGCCCACACCCTCTTTTGTAGAAACTTGGTAAAATTCTTGTAATGTACTTTGAAGGAAACTTTTGGAATTGGGCTTAATTCTTGGATTACAAGATGATGTAAGTTACTTGAAGTGAAATTGGTAATGAACTTTTGGAAATAAATGAATATGAACATTGAAATAGTTTAGAAAAAATGGGATTAGAAATATTTATGGAAGTGGAAATTGAATTAGAAAGATGAATATGATGGATATTTGGATTATTTAGGATTGGAATTTGGAATTGAATGGAATCTGTAATACAGATCTTGAAATGACTAGAAAAAAAGAAAGTGGACAATTGAAAAAAAAAAGGATAAGAATGGATGTGAAACTTCCCTTTAGAGACTATGAATCTATCTCAATCTCCAATCATTGTATCACAAACTAGACACAACTATCTTTATTACAGGAACTCCTTGATTGAAAATGAATTGATCATTGATGATCTTTAGTCTCGGCCTGATACCTTGATTCCACCACGTGCAATTTGAATTCACTTGGCAACCCTAATTGGGAAGTGAGTTAGCTCGTGATAATCATTACCCCTGAAACCACTGATAACTTAACGTAGCTTAACAATCTGATCCCCACATTAACTGATTTGAATTAGCACAAACCCTAATTAGAAGCCTCAAATTCACATCATTTGAATTGTGTCCATCCTAATCTTGATCTTGACACGAACCTTTGCCTGACCAAGATTAAGATAAAACCTCTTGAACTGAAAAATCACTACATACACACTTGATTTGACAAACCTCAAATGAAACTCAATTCATCTTTGCAAAGTTGGGCTCAGAAGAAAGCAAAGGAAAAAACGTTTTTGGATTTTTTGAATAACAGTTAGTAGATGGAAATACAGATGAAACTTATATACAGATACAACAAATTTGGGGTATGACACACCTCTCTATCACATCCCTAAAATGGGGTACTTTGGGAAATAACTTAAAAAATGGGATACTTTAGGATTTTTTTTTTAAAAAAGTGGGTTATTCTGATAAAAAATTCAACAATTAATTTAAAAAAGATTACAATAAGTCATAAAATAAAAAAACACGTCGAATGAAGATTTTATTTTCTAAGAGATGAAGTGAACAAGGAAATAATAGAACTTTGTTTAATGCAAAATTGAACTACAACTAGCAGACCTTTTAACTATATGCAAGTGAAAATATATGCAATTATTTTATTGATTCTTAAGACAACTGTAGTATAATACATTAATAAAATTTACAATTGTTCTATAAATATATCTGTATATTACTAGTAATATTTTAACAAGCAAAAACACTAAGATATATTACAATTTTTTTTGGAACATGTAAACACTCCAATTAGTAGCACAAAATTTCTCTAGTTTGAACAATTACTCAATATATCTTCATTAGATTCTCTCTCAAATTGTCCATCTTCTTCATTGTGTCTAGGTTTAGTTTTATGTTTAGAATTAGGTCTTGAAGGACGTCTTTCATTCAAGTTAGAGTCCCTAGATTTTAAATTGGCCTTCAAATGAGATCCTTCTTTAGATTTATATTCCTTGGATTTAGAACATGTTCTCGAATGTATGTCTTCATTCGAAATTTGGTCCTTAGATTTGGAACTTGTTAATGACTGCATGTCTTCGCTGGAATTGTGTTCCTTAGATTGAGGTTTTAGTCTAGATTTAGATGATCCACTAACACCTTGAACATCTTTTGTTTTCTTGTAATTAGTTTTTTTATGATGGTATGATTGGATCTTAGGTGGCAAATTATCATCAGTAGTTTCTTGGAGTTGGGGAGAATCTGTATGCATTGATATAGGTTGTTCTCTTGTTGCGAGGTTGGATTCATTTAAAGTGTCATTTGTTGTTGAATGTTTTGAATTTCTTTTTGGTTGCCTTGGTCTGTCTGCCTTTTCTTTTGCATGTAACTCTCTCATATTTCCAGTTGAATTTGATTGATTCATAGATGATTTAGGTAAAGGTAACTCATGTGTGTTCTCTATTCGCATTGACCTTGAACCTCTTTTTATTGAGTCTACATAGAAATTAAAAACATTTTCAACAAAAAAAATAGATGAAAATTCAAACGAAATATATGAAATATAACACATACCTGAGCGGCCCCAATTGTGTGAATCATCAATTTCTCTATCTCCATTCATATTTTGAGGTGCTGATGATGACAATCCTGAAACAGAATTATACTCACTCATCTGAAAACAAGAAAAAAATTTATTAAATTTTTTCTAATAATACAAAATTTAAAAGAATAATTAAGTTATTAATAATATTTAACAAGTATTATTATGTTAAATTGCGTAAATAGAATGTTACCCAGCTAGGAGCATTTTCAGTAGGACCGTCCCAACCAATATGTGCCACATGCTTTACATCGGTGGGATCACCGATCTCAATCTCTTGTTCTTTTTCGCTATTATCTACAAAATGAGTATTTTAATTTGTGATATAATATTAAATATACGAAAATGATAAAATAATTAAATTGTAATAATAAGAGAGGAAGATTAACTTTACATACCAAATATCTGAGAAATGAATTTCAACCCTTTAACAAGTCCCTTCATCTTATTATCACGGGACATGTTACGACAAATCACATGCGTTGGAATTCTCTTTAACCAAATAACAAAAAATGTTACAGTGTTTAATTATACCTGAAATATATGAATTTATCATTAAATTAAAGATAAAAAGGAGAATCTGCAAATAATCATAGAAAATAAATTTCTATGTTGATGAAAGCACTAAACATAATCTAACCTTTTGAAGTTTTGTTTAAAAAGCCAGCATTTAGGAATCCATTCATTGTTGAATTAAAGAAATTTTCTAAAGAGAACCATCAACGAAGATAACACATATATTTATTAAACTATTTTTTGTGATTAATTTGAAGAAGCTAAAGATTTGTTGAAGAAACTTGAGGCAATGTGTGACAAAATGTTTTGTGAAAAGTGTCTAAGATAGTAGCAAATCAATTATGTTTAAAACTAGAAGGAGATCGAGATTTCAGGTGTGACAATGAGAATTATTGAAAGGTAAATATAAAACATTATTAGAAGTGATAAATTTAGAAAGACATTAATAGATCATATAATTTTCAGTATTATCAGTTTCATCTCCGCCTTCAAACTCTATCGGAGATGGAAATTATACTATATTTATATTTATAGTATAATATAAATAATGATTGTTTAAAGATTTAAAAATTCAAATTTAAATATGTAGTTTAAATTTTTTTCAATATTCTCAGTATTTTATAACCAATTTCTAACACACATCACGACCTCTAAATTAGTTTAGTGAAGTCCACCTTAAAAATACATCATTTGTAATGACTTGAATTATTGGATATTTTATACAATTCAATTTTCACTGTAATAAAATATCAAAATTAGGGTTTTTTTTTATATGATTCCTTTCTCTAAATAAACGTTTAAATTTGTTTTGACAAAGGAAGATCTTGATATTTGTTTTCTCCTAACATATAAATCAGAGTCTTCTAAGCCATTCAATGTCAACATTACTAACATTTGCATCCAACATTTGAGAATCATTATTAAAATTATTATTTATTTTCAATTGATATTCATAGAAAATCATAGTATACTTGTGTTAACTAGCAAATTTTGACTAGGGAAAGAGAAATGAGTCAAAGAGAAATAAGCGGAGAAGTCGAAGCAATCTCGACAGACAACCTGTCAGAAGGAAGTTGAAGCAAGCTCGACAGACAACCATTTTGACTGAGTTCGAAGGCAAGCCAAAACGAGCAAGTTTTGCAACTGATGAGAATATGGGGAAGTTACACAAGAAGTGGGTGTGCATGGGTGGATGCATGGCAAGCTATGAATAGTCAACAGCCAAGCAACAATTATTTTTCATGTCTATTTAAGTAGAATTTAGTTTTCAGCTCAAAGGTCGCATTTTGTAACATTGTAAGGAAAACACTCAAAGTACCAGCGTCTAAAAGAAACGAGTCATTTCTACACAAATGTACGCATGCGTCCAATTTATGTTTAAGCAATTTACATTATGAATTTCTTTTCCAATTCACTTTTCTTTCCCAATTTTTGTCTTGTTTTTTCTTATTTATTTATCTCAGTTGCACAAACGTAGATTCATTCTATTTCTTGTCCACCATTTCAAGCCCAAATACTTAAATAAATATCCCACACTTAACACTAAGTTTAGGATTTTGTAGCCGATCCTACAAGTAACCTTTAATAAGTGGCTAGAGATTGTTCGTCAGAAACCCGATCGAACAACTTGTTGAATCAAACAAATTTGATCATTAGCATCATTAGCAAACAATGTTTCATAATGATATTCAAATATATTTGTTTTGCATCTTGGATCCAAAACAACAACCACTCCCATTATTTCATGAATCAAACAAATATTTATTGGACTTTTCAAACATTTCAATTAATTCATCAAATGATTCAATCCATTCATTTATTGCCACTTTGATTTGGAAGTTGGATACTTAGTGCTTGAATCACTTCTATTAAAGAATTGAACAATTTCAATTTTACACAAATATCTTTTGAAAACTTCCATTATAAACTTGTTGACGTACAATGATACAATGGCGATACATAATGGATTGACCGACTAAATATACCTTCATATAAAATGGAAGCATAAAATATCTTGTACATGAGATTTCATATAGTCGGACAATCTAAAACTAAATTCTTGGTAGAAGAGATCCATAATTGTTTGACAATCTCTGTTGGAACAAAATTGGTTGATACCATATCCCTTGAGTTTTGATGATAACAAAATCTTTAAAGAAAAATTAGGTATTCTAACATATGTTCAAGTAAGCAAGATTATAAGACTAAGAACAAATTAAGAGAAACTTGAAGGTTTTGAATCTGAAGTTCAGACTCTGGATCTGAATATCACTTCTAAACACTCTAGCACTAATGGAAGATTCAGATTCTAAAGAAGTCAACTTCCAAAGAAAGTCAACCTCTGGTGATTCAGACTCTGAAGCTTCATAAGACAAGAAGCAGATTCTTACGAGATCAGCCTCTAAAGAGTGAAGTCCAAAGAAAGTCAACCTCTAAAGGATCAGGACCTGAGTTCTCTTCAATTGAGGAAACTCTAACAGACTTAAAGACCTTTTGTTAACGTGAAGACTTCAGAAAAAATCTCTTCAACATTTTCTGAGCTTCAACAGATAATGCCTCTTGTAGAAAGATGTTTTTTTATGTGCCCAATCAAGTACAAAGCTTATCTAACTTTTTGGTGAAATTCTTCCAACGTCTCTTTTCCTTCTCTATATATAAGAATCTAAGAGATTCGAAGAAGAAGACTAATATATTAGAACAAGATTTGTTCATGAAATATATCCTTTAGATTTTGATGATAACAAAGTCTTGAAAAAACAATGATGTTATCTAATGTGTGTTCTAAGTATGCAGGTTCAAAAACTTAAAGAGAATTTACTCAGAATCTGTTAAGAGAACACATTTGAGAAAAGCTGAGTTCTTGGCTTCTGATGGTTCATAACTGAAGAACGTTCTTAAGTGAAGTTTGATGATATAAGATTGTGTAGACTCTGAAGCTGAATTATCAGCATCAGAAGAGAAATATGTTATCTCTACACTTATTAAATGTATCAAATTCTGGTGAACATTAAGAACCATAGACAAAGCTAAGTGATTTGTATTGCATAAAGCAAGCTACAATGTTAAATCACTTTTTCATCTAGAGTATATGTTCACATGACTCAAGGAAGGTTGACATGCTGTACAAATATCCACTCTCAATGAATCTATAGTACAACTCAAAAGTAACACGCTACAGTTAAACAAGTTACACAATGGATAAAGATCTTTTTGTGTATCTATCTTTAACGTCTCTTAGTACTATGGAGTAACAAAGACACTTATGCAAGTTATCTATTCTAATGGCCATTCTTTTGTATATGGTATTTAAGCAGCTGAAGATTTGATATGAAGAATAAACAAGGAACAAAAAGAAAGAGGGCCAAGCAGAAAAAGGAACGTTTTATGCTTCTATTAAAATGGAAGAATAACAAGATCAACAACAACATTGACTATGCAAACTTTTTGTTATCAGTTGTAAATTGTACAAAGCCTTAATATTTTTTAAACAATGAATATCTTAGGAATATTAAGTGCTATGATCTTTGTTATAGTTATTGCCATGTACCTATAATTGTATATCAAGTACACCTTGTTGTCTATTATGCTAAAAAGGTTGTTTAGTAGTTTAGAAAGAAATTCGCTTGCTATGTGCTTGAGCATCAAAGTCTCTTGATGTGGGCTTGAGCCAAGTAAGTCTCCTGATATGTGCTTGAGCATTGAAGCCTTGATCAAATTGTTGATTAAGAAAGAAAGTATTATGTTGTGAGCCTAAGCAGGAAGTCTTGAATCTGTGGGATTTAAGCAGGAAGTCTTGGATTCGTGGAATTTGAGCAAGGAACTCTTGTACTCGAGGTTATGAGCAGGAAGTCTTGAATCCATGGGATTTAAGAAGGAAGTCTTGGATTTGTGGAATCTAAGCAGGAAAGTATTAGGTTGTGAGTCTGAGCATGAAGTTTTGTACTTGAGGGTATAAGTAGGAAAGTTTTATGAAGATCTAAGCAAGAAGTCTTGATCAGGTGCTGATTGAGTAGATAAATCTTAGGTTGTAGGTCTGAGCAAAGAAAAGTCTTACGCTCGAGGGCATAAGAAATTGTAATCATTGTTTGATTATAGTGAAATATCTTTTATGTTGCAAGGGGATTGGACTACTCTCAGTTTGGAAGGAACTAGGATAAATCTTTGTGTGTTCATTTGTCATTTACTTGCTTTTGTTATTATTTCGCTGCAGCTTGTTATCAGAATCTGAACTATTATTTAGAATCTGAACTCTATTAAGAAGCAATGCAAATTGGAAAACACAATTCAACTTTGGCTTCTTGTGTATTTTTCTCACCATCAGTTGGCATCAGAGCATGGCTTATGCATAACACTTAACAATGGTGCAGATAATGATCCATAGAGAGAAATATGTTTGCTGAAGATTTTTAAAAAAGGAATCAAGTACCATATGGAAAAAAATTATTTCTCTATTAATCCTCCCATCTTCAGTGGTGACTTAGCTGAATTTGAATGGTGGAAAAGCAAAGCTTAATCATATATCATTCGTGTTGATAAAGGGTTTTGATGAAGAACTATGGGATATCCTTGAAGATGGTATCACTATAGAAGTTGATGGTGTTGGGATGATCAAAGATAGAAAATCTCTCACACTAGCTCAATAGAAGCTTTACAGAGATCATTTTTGAGTTAGAAGCATTCTGGTAGATGCTCTACCTCCTTCTGAGTATATCAAAATCATTGATAAGTCTACTGCTAAGACTATCTTTAAATCCTCGTGTTCTAAATATGAAGGCATTCAACAAGTGCTTAACAAGTTACACTTCATCTAATATTTCTAATAAAAATTTTGAGAAGTTTTCCTGCTAGATTCAGACTAAAAGTCACAGCTATTCAAGAAGCCAAAAATTTGAATATGCTAAGTCTTGAAAGTTTGATTACCAATCTTCAAAGAAATGAAATGGAAT